GACATCCGATTATCCGGACACCGATTATCCGGACAACCGATTATCCGGACAACCGATTATCCGGACAACCGATTATCCGGACATCCGATTATCCGGACATCCGATTATCCGGACATCCGATTATCCGGACATCCGATTATCCGGACATCCGATTATCCGGACATCCGATTATCCGGACATCCGATTATCCGGACATCCGATTATCCGGACATCCGATTATCCGGACAACCGATTATCCGGACATCCGATTATCCGGACATCCGATTATCCGGACATCCGATTATCCGGACATCCGATTATCCGGACATCCGATTATCCGGACATCCGATTATCCGGACATCCGATTATCCGGACATCCGATTATCCGGACATCCGATTATCCGGACATCCGATTATCCGGACATCCGATTATCCGGACATCCGATTATCCGGACATCCGATTATCCGGACATCCGATTATCCGGACATCCGATTATCCGGACATCCGATTATCCGGACATCCGGTTATCCGGATATCCAATTATCCGGACATCCGATTATCCGGACATCCGATTATCCGGACATCCGATTATCCGGACAACCGATTATCCGGACAACCGATTATCCGGACATCCGATTATCCGGACATCCGATTATCCGGACATCCAATTATCCGGACATCCGATTATCCGGACATCCGATTATCCGGACATCCGATTATCCGGACGACCGATTATCCGGACATCCGATTATCCGGACATCCGATTATCCGGACATCCGATTATCCGGACATCCGATTATCCGGACATCCGATTATCCGGACATCCGATTATCCGGACATCCGATTATCCGGACATCCGGTTATCCGGACATCCGATTATCCGGACATCCGATTATCCGGACATCCGATTATCCGGACATCCGATTATCGGACATCCGATTATCCAGACATCCGGTTATCCGGATATCCAATTATCCGGACATCCGATTATCCGGACATCCGATTATCCGGACATCCGATTATCCGGACATCCGATTATCCGGACATCCGATTATCCGGACATCCGATTATCCGGACATCCGATTATCCGGACAACCGATTATCCGGACATCCGATTATCCGGACAACCGATTATCCGGACAACCGATTATCCGGACAACCGATTATCCGGACAACCGATTATCCGGACAACCGATTATCCGGACATCCGATTATCCGGACATCCGATTAACCGGACACCCGATTATCCGGACATCCGATTATCCGGACATCCGATTATCCGGACATCCGATTATCCGGACATCCGATTATCCGGACATCCGATTATCCGGACATCCGATTATCCGGACTTCCGATTATCCGGACTTCCGATTATCCGGACTTCGGATTATCCGGACTTCGGATTATCCGGACTTCCGATTATCCGGACTTCGGATTATCCGGACTTCGGATTATCCGGACTTCGGATTATTCCGGAATGTTATTTAAATTCAGAACCTAAATTTGGTATCGATCAAATGGACCTTTTGTCGAATAACATTTTTCCAGTTATTCGGACTCCGATTGAATTATACGATTCTTGATTCTCTAGAAATTGTCTAGAATATACCTTATTTAGCAAAACAACGTTTGCCGGGTCAGCTAGTATATATATATAGTAATATCTTTGTTCGACGTTGAATCAGCTTCGAAAACATAATGAATTTAATTATACAGAAGGACACACACTAAACAAGCACATTAAAAAATCAAACATTTCCAACTGGGTTATATTTTTTAGGTTATTATAGGAATTTTTTTCAGTATCAGTTCATTTTTGATCTCACGTAAATATAAATATATATAGTAGAATATAAATTGCTATAACATGTTTATTGTTTTCAGTTTCAATTATAATATTCAGTATGTTTTCCTTATAAAAGTTTTTATGATCAGTTACATTTTGTTGTTGAAATTAAAAATGCTATTGAGATTATATTATATGATATATTATATAAGATTATATTATATGTAATTATATATCACATATAATTCAATATATTATAATATGCACTCAAATATGCATATATAATAAAATTTATTACCTTATAGTTTTCATAAATCTCATCAAAATCCATAAATTTAGAATATAATGTTGCTTGAAATGTGGCTGTCCATATATCACTCCCAAATAGTGCTATGTAAAATATTGCGTACGTCTAACCAGTCCTGAAGCATCATTTATATCGCCTGCTTAACTTTAATGTAGCCTGATACAGTAATCCCTGACCCGCTGCTGACCAGTCGGCCAGCTGGCAGAGCGTCATTCAACTCACTAGGACCGTAACGCAAATCTGAATCCGAATTGCCCAAACGTGCATATCATTCGAAATAATGCCGAAAGGACCATACTCTGAATGATTATAAAAAAACGAGGGCCAGTGCTCTTGTAAAAGATCGAACGTCTTATAATAGTAATTATTTGATTGTAAAATATGTATCGTATTCACTTATCGTAATACACTTCAAATTATAAATACAACCAAACAATAACGTGTTTAGTGATTTGAAAATGAACATAATGTTGATAAATAATAAATAATAATTTAAAAAAAAAACAAATAATTAATTATTACCTTATAATACTGAAACATTTTTTTGAAACTTTACTGCATTAAATAGAGATTTTGAATTTTTTTATCATGTTATCAATATCCAGAAGCCAAATCTCCGAATAAAATAATTGTGTAAAATTACTAGTCTTCTTTGTTAAATAGTCGTACGACGACATTATTATTCTAACGTTTTAATCATTTGGAGGCTAGTCCTTAAAAGTTAATACGGTGCTCCATCAAGAGTTGGTCCTCATATACTGCATACATATTTACTTAATTTAAATTATTAAATTAGTTTTAACTGAATTTACATTTTTATTTACTATTTGTTTTATATTTTGTACATCTTTCCAGGGTAAAGATTCAGTTAGTTCATATTATTTATCCCACCCACAGGTAAACTAATATAGAGAATATTTAAAAACATTTGTTAAATCTATCTGAAAATTATCATCTTATAAAACAATTAAATAATGTAAATTCAAAAATTATATCAAGATTTCATAAACTAAACAAGTTTTAGCCATTTGGAAGTTAGGCCTTTAAAGTTAATACGATGTAAAATGCTCTATCAAAAATTGTATACAGTTAGTTCATATTATTCACCCCACCCACATGTAAACTATTATAGTATAAAAATTATATAAAACATCTGTAGAATCTAATTGAAAATTATTATCTTTGAAACAAATTAAATAACGGAAATTTAAAAATTATATCAAGATTTCATATACTAAACAACAGTGCTAAAAAAAAACTAACTACGAAAAAAATACTTATATTCTAGATTTTTAAACATGACTGTTTATCTCCTGATAGCAACATTGCATGATTTAAGACGATAGCTAATCACACATTTTTTCCCTACTACTTTCAAATATTATTGTTTAAAATTCCTAACTTTACTTGTTTTTGAGATATCCGTGATGAACCTCTTTTTACCATAATGAAAAATATTAATGAAAGTTAAAACACATTTATTATTAACTTCCCGTAGGGTAAGTTATAGTAATCGCAAAAAATCGAAAATGAAAATTTTTATATATCTTTACATTCCAAAGGTTTTTAAACATTTTGGCATACCTTAGAAAAAATGGATGTGTGTGTAGAAAAAGTGTATGTGTGTGTGTACGGATACAAATTTTCGTTGACGATTTCGGGAACACTCACTTTTGAGCTTTGTCAGCTTTCTTCATTATTATTTTGGAAAAAGTAGCACTTGTTCGTTTATTTTTGTAATTTTTGTAAATTTACCTATTAGATTTCGAAAGACCGGTACAATCCGGGAAAAATATTGCTTTTAGAAGAACTCTAGACACAAGGCGAAAATCCTAAATTAAGTAAGGTCACCTAAATTAAATTTAAAATGAAAATTTATCTACTGTATTTTTCATTACTCTAATTAAATAATTATTTAAATTCTTTATACTTATTTCTATTGTCACCTAGTCACTCACTGGGTAAATACCCTACGAGTAATAATTAACATAGCAATATAATACTATATAACGCGTTTAAACGTGAAACGTGTTATGAACAAATAAAAAGTAATATAATTTGGAGAATTAATTACATTGTATCTCTTTTACATAAAATCTTGTCAAAAACTTAAATTAAATCAAATAGAATGAGACGGATAAAAATGAATCCTCAAAAGGGCAAAGCACTCAACATTTGATTCTGAAACAAAGTACTTTAGATGCGACTTGTAACATGTATCTAACTTCTCTAAAAAGCTCATATATAAAAGCACGCTAAGTGAAAGCAATCACATCACTGCAACTTTACTTTTTCATTTCGAAAAAGTTCTTCGCAAAATATTTCAGATAGAATTATTCTTAAACAACGAGAATTATATTGAGTCTTGGTGCGACTGCAGGTTACTGTTTCCGGAGGGAGCATTTATTACCTGAAACTTTGGTCAGATTACAAAGTCAAGTGTAGTTTAATTTGTTTCGTTGTGTGTAACAACTCGGCCGAACTTTGCATACAAAAAAGTTACGCAAATTTATTGCATGGCCTTGGACTTAGCAATATGCAGATCAGTTTGAGAGTTTGGAAACTTATGCAGACCAAAGTAATATATTTCGATAAATACGAATAGGAAATTGATGCAAGTAAAATAGATTATATGAATTTTTATGTCACTTTTTGTAGTCTACTTTCCTCACCAGATATGTATATTTAATTTCCAGAATATTATGCAAAAGTGAGATTTAAAACAACGCTCTCTAAATATTACTTAAAAATATTTTTAATCTTTCTATATGTTGTCTAAATTACATTAATTTATATTCCTGTATGTTTTGTTATGCTTAGTTTTGCATCAGAACTAAGTGTGTATTACTGTGTATAGCCTATTGGAATTAATAGAATAAAGAAATAAATATATTATGATTCGTTCAAACAATTTCAAAGAAACTTACCGATATGAGTTGATAGGAGTGATTCATCATCGCGATCAGTAAATTAAGTAACACCACAATATTAATAACTGAATAAGTTCCGAACATGAGCATTCCCCAAAATCGTGTGAAGATTTTGATACCATCTAACTCGAAACTGTCCAAATCTACCAATCCAAAAACTGCCCAAAAAAGCGTTTGTGTAGTCTCAAATAAACTGTTGAAAAACAATTAATATAATACATTATAAATCAATATCTGTAAAAGTTAGTAGCAATTCATATATATAGGTTCTAACTTAATAATTTACTAACTAAATAACTGTAAAAGTTTACTATAATCAATTGTAATAATAATAGGGTTTCTAGTTTGGCTCATTTAATTTCTTTTAATCAATTGTAAATCATTCGATTTAAACAAAATAAAGTAATGTGATCAATTTTATTTTCAACGCATTAGACATAGAGAGGGCGATTCAGTCAATGATAAAAATTGCAAATTTATTTTCCTGACCTACTTTTGCAGATTACTTAAAGCCGATAAGTGCAATCATGCAGATAAAGAAATAGTTTTGTGAGATAGAGGTGTTTTTCAAAAAGACAAATCGTAGTTACAAACTTTTTGTAATAAATTATAGAATATTGTAGTCAGTTTAAACAAACAAAGTAATGTTATTCTACTCATATTTAAATACAACTTTAGGAAAAAGTTAGTTGAATCGAATGTTATATTAATTAACGAAAAAAGAATATAGTCAAAATTAAAAGCACAATGTTGGCATAAATTACTCATTGAGTAAAACGTTCGTGGCAAGAAGCATGTAAGTAAGTCATACTGCAGTATTGCTACAGTATTTGGTGCATAATACATATTGGAAATCCAAAGTAATCCCAAAGGAACGTGCTTCTAGTGCTACTTGTCTGTATATTAATATTTCATCAGGTACTTACTTTGCAAAGCGCCTCCACACTGTACAAGCATTTGGATCTACAGGTTCTTGGATTGAATGGTTTGCTGGATATGATGAGCTAAAAGATTGGATGTCGGGACAACGTTTCTTTTCTAAATCAGCGTAGTACCTGAAAAGAGAATACAAATCGAAAAATGAATGAAAAGAAACAATTGATAAAAGAAATTTAGAGTTAGCCATTTCGAAAGGCTGTCATTATTATATATTAAATAAAAATTTATATTATGATTACAATTTTGATTTTCTGAACTAAAACCTTTTTACTCTAAAAATATTTATTTATCGAGGAAGTGAGATGTTTACTTCTTCATAAAATTAAATTATCGATACAACTTTTTTATACATAAACCCACAAAGAATCATCAATGTTTACTGTTCATCGAGTTCATTTAAAGATTGATTATTTGTGAAGTTTTACTGCCTTATTGCTTATCAATAAATAACGTTGGGTATCACAACAATCTAGAATCATTTAATATTATATTATTAAGATATTTTATATAAAATAAATAATCAATGAAAACATAGTTAACATAAATAGTTAATATCAAAGATCACATTTAATTACATGTATTACATTTTGTTATATTATAGTTTTTTTAAAACTTATTTATGCTTAGATATATGCGTTTTGTAATTATTTATTCATTTTTATTGTTTAATTTAGAGTTTAAAATTTAGTTTTTATGATGAATTAAATATTACTGTGATTTATTTAATAATGAATAAACACTTTCCTATTTAAAAATTGTATCATTATTAAAGTTTTCATTGTGCTCGATTCTACATGGCGTCTCCACCGTATTCAGCGCTACGGTAATAATTTATTTTGATGGATGATTAGAATATGTTGCATCATGTGCATATAAAAGGCAATTGCAGTAATCTGAATTTTAAATGAATTTTATATGGTATTTTAAAATAATTAATTAACAAGCATTCTAAATTCATAATTATCAATTGAATTTTTGAGTATATAAAAAATTGAACTTTATCAATCAAGTTCCCAAAGTTGAATAATTTATTGTTATTTGAATGAAATATTTATTTTTAAGTAAAACAATATTTCACGATTATCTTTTAGCACTATAATTGCTGTTAATAATGCTATTTTTCAAGGAAAAAAAAGTTCATTGTCATATAATCTTTTATAAATTAAACTATAACAACTAGAATTAATTCTTGAATGTCTACTTGTTAATGAATTATTTATGCCATATTTGAATTCAATAAAAGTTGTATAAATAAAAGTGAAAATAAGCTGACGTTTAGGAATATTTATACGTACAAAAATTACCTCTGACTTATTAATGCTTCTTTTCTTCACAAAAAGCTATGTATTACTCACAGAACGCATAATGAGAAAATCTCTTATTACGCTTCCGAAAACAGACTGTGATGTTTCTTAACGCGATTTTGCCTGCGGTTCTGTTTCTGTTATTAAATAAGTAATGAAATTTCGTGGCATCTTGTTCTATAATAATTAATATAATAAGAAAAAAGAAGAATGCGTAAAATTTATTTATTATGAGATAAGGTCTTTGAGAAATACGTCGTGAACAGATCACAGAGAGAAAGCTGGATGTATCATTATATTACGTTTTATTTATCGATTGAAAGAAGAAGATATGAAAATTTGAAAAGCAATAAGTTTTTCATTTTTCATAAATGGTTTGGAATGGAATAAAATATGCATATATGTAAATACATATTTATGCATAAATATATGTGAAAATCTGAAAAGCAATAAGTTTCACATTTTAGACTGAGTATCTTAAAATGCAATAAAATATGATTATATAAATACTCGTATATATAAATATATATATATATATACATAAATAAATAAACGTCTGGAATTACCAAATAAAGTGTGTGTTAAAAATCTGAGTGTTGTATTGTTCATATTTAACATTTAATATTCGTTCCACTCATATCACAAAATTCTATGTTTATATATATATATATATATATATATATATATATATATATATTTAATTTCATTCAAATTTTTTGCGTTTATAGTTTTAGCGATTTCTTATAGAATAAAAATTTTAACAATATTTCACACTCATATTTTTCATAGAATCCCTTAGAATCCCTATTGATTTAAGACAATTCTTTGAGACTGCAATTGTTATTTGGACAAAGACTTTGGAAGCTTTCATGTGGCAGCTCTTATTAAAATAAAAACTAAGAAGAGTTTTAAAGCATCCTCTACTTATTGTTCTCTATTGAAAAGTATTGCACTTTTCTAATATGAGACATGTTTTATACATTTACAACCAATTATAAAATTCTTGTTATTAATATTTTTTTAAGTTTTGAAATAAATTAGAGTTGTTTGAAAATTATTCATGAGTATTACGTATCTTTAATTTTCTTATACAATATTATATGATAACATGTATATTGATTTTTCTTTATGAACATTGAAACATATTATTTGAATTAGTTAATAGTTAATAGCCCGAAATAAAGTATAATATTTATTTTGAATTAAATGTATTGAGAAACCATATCTTACAATTCAGCAACCAATGTTAACATAATTTTTATAAAATTGTTAGGTATATTTGATATTTAATATATTTTAAATTTAAATGTATTCATTAGTTATTCATAGTTCACATTTTCATATCAATTTTTATTTAACATGCTTTCATTTATAATAAAGGTTTTTTGAAATTTTATTTAATTAAAAATATATTAAAATTTTTATATTAAAAATATAAACATATAAATTTATATGAATATCTATAATTTTGAAATACCACTGCTTCTAAATCATAAATAGTTGTCAGTTAATTACTTAAAAATCAACTAAATTAAATTTTATATAAAATTATGAAAATCAATTATTTCTTTTTGTAAGTTTCCTAGTTCGACATTCCAGTATATTAAAGCTTTTAAAAGCTGTTCTCTTACAGCTTGTACATGACACCCATCTCTGGGGTGAAAATGCCTCGTTGTCTTCGCGGGTTGAAACTCGCAGCCCATTAGTTGTGAGTTGTTTTTCTAGAGGGGCTCCGCAGAGTGGTGTCGCGTTCTACGTGCGGAGGAGTCTCGCCCTTTTGTGCTTCTTTTGTAAGATGCACGTAGGATGCTTCTAACGCATCCGGCGCGACGGTACATAGATGATAGGGCTCTCAAATGTAAGAAACTGAAGAAATACTCGAAATATATATAGTTGATTTTATTTTTTAATTTATTGATTATATCAATTTATTAACTTTCCGTAGAATAGTTCTAACGCATCTGGCGCGATGGTACAAAGATGATGAAACTCTCAAATGTAAGAAACTGAAGAAATACTCGAAATACATGTAGTTGATTTTATTTTTTAATTGATTATTTTAATTTATTAACTTTTCGTGGCGTAAATTATAGTAATCGCAAAAAATTCGAAAATGGAAATTTTTATATATCTTTACGTTTCAAAGGTTTCTAAACATTTTTGAATACCTTAAAAAATGGATGTATGTGTGTGTGTATGTATGTGTGGATACAATGTTTTGTCGACGATTTTAAGAACACGAATCAACCGATTTGAGTAATTCAAAAAGCATTCGATTCCTATTGTTAAGGTGACGTGCCGATTAGTTTTTGGTAGAAGCAGGTCCAACCGTTTCAAAGATACGGGGCAAAAAGAGTTAAAAATGGTAACGCAGTTTTTGAGAGAACGAAGTATCCGGTTTGAATAATTCAAAAAAAATTTATTTGTATTGATAAGAATCGTTTAAATTTATTGTGGTAGCAGGTATTAGGGGTTTTAAAAACCGAATGAAAAAAGTAAAAAAAAAAACATTTGGCGGTCAAAATGATGATTAGACATATCCACACCAAATTATCAGAAATTTTATACAGACAAAAGTTTAATAATAAGTATGAATTTTGTTTACATTTCTATGGGGTCCGTAACATTGTTTATCCGTTATATGCGGCGCTGACGATTGCTTTGAAAACAAGTTCAAAATTTTCAGAAAAATTTAAAGTATATAAAAAATCAAATTTTTTAATTTATATATTTAATTAATGAATCATATACTATATAACGAATTAAAATTGTTCTGAATTCCAATGCTTTTTAATCAGCTCTTGATTATGCATCTTACTTCCTATGCGCATATAATCTTATGCTTAAACAATATATAATAACATATTATTATTAATACAATTTTGAGCCGTATTTCTAAGTCTTCATTCCTTTTTAGACATAAATAAAAACTCAAATTTTAAATTATATCATTGTTTCATTCTGTGGTTTGCATTTTAAATACTTTTTAGCACTTTGTGATTCTATAAAAAATATCTCTACATGATCAAGTTACTTATATATAAGTAAACTCCATTCTACCATAGCCTTTGAAAGTGAAAAAAAAAATAGATTTTAATATAGTCACCCTTTTTAAATGATCTTTGAGGCGCTACACTTTAAAAAAGCTCATCGATCGACACTTTACTGAAAATAGGGTAGAAGAAATCTATAGTAAAATTTTCTATAGAATAACAAACGCGTATTAATTAGATACAAACAAAGAAATTGAATACAGATAATTTCAAAGTAATCCTTTTCTTAATACCGACATTGAAAACTCTTTATTTTTTTTAAATAAACATAATTTTATGGAAATTTCTTGAAATGAATCAAAACACTAGTAGTATTAAATACTAAATATACATATCATAACTGGTTCTCGTGTTTTAAAATTCAATTGCAAGGCACTTTTATAGAACAATAAACTTCTGATAAGTAATTTTGTAAACTTTTAAAAAATAACATCTAATCATTTTTTAAGAAATACCTAGTCATTAAAATCAATTATATATAACACTCAAATATTAATATTATATTATTTGAATTTAACAATATTTCAAATAAATTTGAACTTAGAATGAGCTTTAATTGACTAACATGAATTGACATAAATTGTTTCTCTACAGTTATTTTAATTTCATTCAGCGTTTATGTTTTTAAACAATACTATAAAATTTGTGAGAAACTCTACAAATGGCAAGGAACTCTTTCCCCCATTATGGGGGCGAGGCACCTTCTCCTCCAACATTTTGTTCTTGAATGCGCTCCGTACAAGAAAATACATAGCTGTC